GCATCTTTATTTTATGAGTCCCCAGTCTTAAGGATGTCTCTGAGACAGCTTCTCTAGCTGCCATCTTTCTGTTTATTTAACAGACCACTGCAGGAAACCCATACAACTTCCAGGCTCCTAAGATGATCCCAACTCATGAACTGCAGTGTCTCTGTGTCCTGGCAGTGCCCAACTGCTCTTTCTTTCCTTCTTTTGAGAAAAGGAAAAGAAGATGGGAAAAATATTAAGAGTTTAAAGTAATCTGAGGCCTTCTCTCTCTTTCCCCCTCCCCTCCTCCCGCACCAAATGAATCTTAGATTTGTCATTTAAGAAACAAAAATGCTTGTGGAAGTTTCACAGGAGCATATTTTTTTATATAAATTTTTATTAAATAAACATTTAAAAACAGGTTGAACACAGTGTGACTTTTCTGGCTGTTATTTTGCCATACATACTATACCATATGCCATATATCTTCCTAGTCATTGATCTTTTATACCATTTACATATTGCATTTTATACTATTTACATATTTATAGATTTACATACATATTTACGTCTATTTATAACATAACTTCCATTTCCATTCTTATTTCATATTCTTTCTGATCTCTATCTTACGCTCACTTTGAGGTTGGAAATCTACACTTTCTCTCTTCTAGACGAGCTTTCTCTGTTCTGAGAAAGGAGCATTTTTCGTAGGGTAACCTGTATCTGCTTTTGCCTATACAGGTGAAACTCGAAAAATTAGAATATCGTGCAAAAGTTCATTTATTTCAGTAATGCAACTTAAAAGGTGAACCTAATATATGAGATAGACTCATTACATGCAAAACAAGATAGTTCAAGCCGTGATATGTCATAACTGTGATGATTATGGCTTACAGCTCATGAAAACCCCAAATCCACAATCTCAGAAAATTAGAATATTACATGCAATCAATAAAACAAGGATTGTACATAGAACAATATCGGACCTCTGAAAAGTATAAGCATGCATATGTACTCAGTACTTGGTTTGGGCCCCTTTTGCANTAATTTTCTGAGATTGTGGATTTGGGGTTTTCATGAGCTGTAAGCCATAATCATCACAGTTATGACACATCACGGCTTGAACTATCTTGCTTTGCATGTAATGAGTCTATCTCATATATTAGGTTCACCTTTTAAGTTGCATTACTGAAATAAATGAACTTTTGCACGATATTCTAATTTTTCGAGTTTCACCTGTACTCATCAAACACCTGTTAGAGATGGAGAAGTCAGCTGAGAATGTTTCTTTTATGATCCTGGTCTCATCTTTAGTAAAACAGACACTGCAGTTAGAAAAAGAAAATCAGACTGTCAGAGGTAAAAATGGGGATTGTTAGAATTCCTTTTTGAAATAATATTCATGTTCCTACTGAAACAAAGCACCTTATTTTCAACTGACTTGGATCCAGAAAAAAAGGTATTTTTTTCAACATATACAGCAGGGCTCCTGTCTTTGGACTCCACTTTTATTGATTATATCTGACACCACCACCCTTTGGGTAGCTAACCAAAAATGGTGATCAACACTGAAGTAATTTTCATGGAAATCCATGGGACTTATATATTAAATGGGTGCTGAATTGGTTGACTTTTGTTTAATATAATAAATTCTGTAAGCTTGAGTTACAGAAGTGTGGTGTGTGTGTGTGTGTGTGTGTACACGCGTGCACAAGGCAAAGTGCATGTTGCAGCTTAGAAGCAAATGCTATTCTTTAAAGATTAAGATGTCAAAGCAACTGAATATAGACAATGTCACAGAATGTGATTCAGGAGAATTTCTTTTTTCCTTACATGAAAGATAGCCAATCACAGCCTCTTTCTGTACAAAGTGGAAGTTTTGTGAGTACTTTACATAGAAGCATTTGTACATCCATAATATGCCCATGTGTTTGCTTACTTGTGAGAAAGAGGACCAAGAAGACTAGCATCTTCTGAAAGAAAGCAGGCATCGTGGCTGTCAGTTCTGTTTCATGTAGTACCCTGTAAAAAGAAAACCAAAACCAGTGATGCATAGGAATCTGGAGAGTAGGCAGTATATGCCATGGCCAAGAGTAGATTAATAAATATTAATATATTAGAGCCATATTAATTTAATGAATTAATAACTAATTAATTGGGGTTGTATATGGCAGCCAAGGTAGTGGCTATCCGCTTTAATGGAGAGAAGCAATCGGCAAACAAAATTCGAGCTAACCTTGTCTTTAGTTTGAAAAATCAGTATTGGTGTCAAATGCCTCCACAATGCAAATCTTTGCACTTGGTACTGATTCAAGAAAACAGATGGCGTTTCTTGCTTTTTACCCTCTTAACAATATTGGTTTAGTAGGGCTTAGAGCTCATTGTTGTGGGAAGAAGTCACAAAATCCAAGCAGCAGCTTGAAGCCTGCACAACTTTAGTTTTGGAAAAGTGCTGGCACTGAATCATAACCACAACATCCCAATGTAATGAGATAAGAAGCATCTTGTGACCACTTTTCATAATTTCTTATGTCATCTGAGGTCAATTTACTTTACAATTTGGACATAGCAGCTGAATGAGTTGTATATCTATGAAAACCACTATATCTTACTTTTTCCCTTTTTTGTATGTGGTGATTCATGTTCCGAGTCCCACACATGTTCTCTAGATGGATGACAATCAATGCTACTTATTTGGGCTATGTAGAGCTTTGGACTTGGAGATAAAGAATTGTTCTATAGCATGCTCTAAAGTCCTTTTTCTTGTCTTTGAAACAGCATGTGTGTTTAGGTACTGTAGGTATACTCATATTTACAAAGTGCCCATAAGTAAATGTTTGTGGCATATGTAAGTTCTACTTCCATTTTATAAGTGAAAAATTGACCACCAAGAAACTAGAGTGAGCAGACTGCCTTCTCAGGTAAGGTTTCGAGTCTGTATCATTTTTCCGATGGAAGAACAGCAACAGAAAAAGGATTTAGAGGAAAAAAAATTGCAACATTCTAGGAAAGTCTTTTGCAACTATCCTTACTTTTGAAGGGAACGGAATAAAGAACTTGTGATACCATCATCTGATACTTTTGATAGTTCTTGTTATTCCAGATTTATTGCCATGCAGGCAACATCTTATGCCTCTGAGATTAGCTTTTGTTTTTTTAATGGGGTGCTTTAATTTACAACCTGACTGAAAGGGGCATTGTCTTACCTGAACGCCTTTTCTCAGCAGGATGGTGTAGAGTCCACTGATTGGGTTATTTCAGCCTTCCTGCTCAGACTAAGACAAAAATACTTTGCCACGCCTCCCTCTGGGTGTGTCTTCCCCAGTTTTTGTTGAGGCGAAGTATCCAGACGCAAGGCTCCAAACACAAAAAGGAGAACAAACACATGCCTAGACAATGACAAACAGGGTGGGCGTGGACTCTACACCATCTTGCTGAGAAAAGGCATTCAGGTAAGACAACGCCCCTTTCTCCAGCAGAATGGGTATAGAGTCCACTGATTGGGACATACCAAAGCCGCTCATGTCCCTGTAGGGAGGGAGGTCTAGGCTTGTGTCCCTTGAGAAGAAACTACTTGCTGTAGAACTCGTCTACCAAAAGCAGCTTCTGCTGCTGCAAAGCGGTCAATCCTATAATGCTTAATGAAGGAAGAGGGGGAGGACCAAGTCGCTGCCCTACAAATCTCCTTGAGCAAAGCCTGGGTAGACCAGGCTGCTGAGGCTGCCGCACTGCGCGTGGAGTGGGCCGTGATTTGAGAAGGGACTGTGAAATGTAAGCCCTTGTAATACAAGCCCTAATCCACTGTCCAATGGTAGAAGAAGAGACCTTCCTGCCCATCGCAGATGGCTGGAAGGACACGAATAAAGCCTCTGACTTCCTGAAGGCCGAGGTTCTTTTAATGTAATGGCGCAGGGTCCTGCGCACGTCCAGCATATGCCACCGTCTCTCCAGATGATGGGAAGGGTTAGGACAGAAGTTAGGGAGTACCAGATCCTGGGATCAATGGAACCCTGTATTGACCTTTGGAATGAATGCAGGGTCCAATCTGAGGACCACCCTGTCCTCGTGGAATGTGCATAGATCCTCCCTCACCAATAGAGTGGCTAATTCTGAAATCCTCCTGGCCGATGTAATAGCCACCAAGGCGGCCACCTTCAAGATGAGAAGGTGGAGGGAGCAAATATTCAGCGGTTCGAATGGAGGAGAAGTTAATGCCTGCAGCACCTTGGACAAATCCCAGGATGGGTAACAATGGACCGTAGGTGGACCGGCGTTAACCGCACCTTTGAGAAATGCACCAACCGCTGGGTGGTGAGACAGGGAAGCTTGGTTGTCACAAGTGAGAACCGTCGATAATGCTGCTATCTGCCTGCATATAGTGCTGGCTGACAGTCCCCTATTTAATCCCTCAAGTAGATAATCCAATATATCTGGGATAGTGAATGAAAGCGGCGAGAGCCGATGCCGGTTACACCAAGAACAGAAGTTTCTCCAAGTGGCATCGTAGATCCTATTGGTTGATGGACGCCGTGAGGCTTGGATAACTGAGATCACCCCGGAGGAATAGGAGTGTCTAGTTAGACTCTCCCGCTCAAGTGCCAAGCTTGGAGATTCCCCTGGCTGAGAGCTACTCGGTCCGGGGGGGATTCTCCACGGTGGCGAGAGCGACAGGTCCACCAGGTCGGCAAACCATGGGCGTCTTGGCCAATATGGAGCAATTAGAATTAGCTCCGCCTGTTCTTGGAGAAGCTTGCGAATAGTCGCTTGTAGTAACGGAAGGGGAGGGAAGGCATAAAGTACGCCCTCCGGCCATACGCTCTGGAGGGCGTCCGTTCCCTCCGCCCCCCTTGACGGGAATCTGGAAAGGAACCTGGGGAGCTGTGTATTGTCCGGGGAGGCGAAGAGATCTAGGATAGGGTGGCCGAACCTGTGGGATATCTCCCTGAACAAGTGTGGATCCAGTTTCCACTCTGAGTGATCCACAGTTGCCCTTCTCAGGGAGTCCGCCTGTTGATGTGCCTCCCCCGAAATGTGTTCCACTTTGATGGAGCTCAAAGTGGACTCTGCCCAAAGTCCCAAGGCCAGGGCTTCCTGCATGAGTGGCCAAGAGTGGGTCCCTTCTTGTTTGTTTACGTGAGCCTTGGCCGCAATGTTGTCTGTCAGGATCAACACATGTTTCCCTGACACAAGGGAGGAGAACTTTTGGAGAGCCAGGTGAATGGCCCTGAGCTCCAGCCAATTGATGTTGTGAGCCAGGTCTGACCTGGACCACCGACCCTGCGCTAAGTGGATGTGAAGATGTGCCCCCCAACCGAACAGACTGGCGTCTGTGGTCAGGGTGGTCCTGATCGGTTCTTTGAAAAGAGTGCCTTTGGTCAAGGCAGACGAGGTCCACCATAGAAGTGAAGATAGGGTGTGATGGGGAACCCTGGCTTTCCTCTTGGAGGCACTGATGTTGAGTCTCTGAAAGGGAAGGAGGAACCATTGGAGGCTCCTGGAGTGGAGCCTGGCCCATGGAACGATGCCCATGCAGGAGATCATCTTCCCCAGGAGTTGAGAGAGTTGTACCAGAGGTACCCTCTTTTCCCTGCGGATCTCCTGGGCCAGCATCCGAATGCTGACCTGGCGCTCCGGAGAGAGATAGACTTTGCATAGGTTCGAATCTATCAGTGCTCCCAGATGGAGCAGATTTCTTGTGGGTGTTGTGTGACTCTTTTTGAAGTTCACGGAGAACCCGTGATCCTGAAGTGTTTGGATTGTGATTTCCAGGTCCGACTGGGCTGAGTGGAAGGATCTGGACTGTAAAGTATATCGTCCAGGTAACACTGTACTCGCACGGGCCTCATCCTTAGATGAGCCGCCAGCACGGTCAAGATCTTTGTGAAGACCCTCGGAGCCGAAGAGAGACCGAAGGGGAGGGCCCGATACTGGTAGTGCTGGTGCGCATAACAGAACCACAGGGACCTGCGGTGTTCCTGGAGGATTGGAATGTGGAGGTAAGCCTCTGTCAGGTCGATGGAGGAAAGGAAGTCACCTTTCCTGATGCTTGCCAAGATGGACTTTAGGGTCTGCATCTTGAACTTCCTGTAAGTTAGGAAGTAATTTAGCCCCTTCAGGTCCAGTATCGCCCTCCATCCTCCTGAGGCCTTGGGGACTACGAACAGGATGGAGTAGAACCCCATTCCTATCTGGTCCTGCGGTACCCTTTCTATGGCCCTGATGTCTAGTAAGTGTGCGATGGCTGTCAAGACTAGGTGAGCCTTTAAAGAATTGTTTGAAACCGGGCAATGTATGAAACGATCTGGGGGAGAAGATCGAAACTCTAGGGAGAGACCGTGTCTTATGGTCTCCCGGACCCAAGCGTCCGTAGTTGTGTCCTCCCAGATGTCGTAAAACAGTGCCAGCCAACCCCCAATGGGGTAGTCCTCCTTGGCGTCACTTGGACTGCCTGTATGGCCGACTGCCTGAGCCCCTGAAAGGACGTTTGGTCTGGGACTGGCCCCTGGCTCCACTGATCTGGCGGTCCTGCTGTCGATCCTGCCTGGAAGGATAGGATCTTGAGCCTCTGGGCCAATCCCAGGACTGCCCTGCCCGAAAGGGCTGTCTCCACTCCCAGGAACCACCGGGGCGAAAAGTCAGTCTACGGTAATCTGCTTGGGGTCGCCTATCTGCTTTTTTGGATGGGTGAGCCAAGACTTTGCGCTTGTCCTTGTCTTCAATGACATGACATGAGGTTCCAGAACTGCATCGAATAAGTGCGTTCCACTATACCTGGAAGTTGACAGGCGCCACTTTGACTTCAAGTCAGTGCGCCACTGCTTCAACCAGAGAAGCCTACGGGACGCCACAGTGGCAGCAACGGATCTGGCCGAGCACCTGGCCGAATGCAAAGATGCATCCGCAATGTACTCGGAAGCTGCCACAATCTTGCCTAGTGTTTGGTGCGCCCTGAACGCCTGGAGATCCTGCAGCCACATTATCGCTGAATGTGCAAAGAAGGAGGATGAGGTTGCCGCCCTTAT